ACCTAACAACAGTGTCATATATACATACGATTATACCTAACAACAGTGTCATATATATATACGATTATACCTAACAACAGTGTCATATATATATACGATTATACCTAACAACAGTATCATATATACATCCGGGTATACGTATCAACAGTATCCTATTTACAATTGATTGATTTTATAACAACTAAATCTTATCTTAAAATTAGTCTTCGTATCTGGGCATAGATCTGTTAACGTTCATGTATATACTAATAAATTACTCTGTGTTTGTCATGTTACTAAAGTTATTACTATAATTTCCTTTTTACATTATCCTTGGTTCGATTCTTGATAAAAGACTTACTCCCAGGGCCATATTTGTATCTGCAAAAATGATTTACATGCAATTCAAGACATATAACTTTTAACAAAATGTTTAGAGAAAAACGATTTAAACAAGAGAACACCACACCTGTCCCAAACAAGGAACACCTCACCTGTCCTAAACAAGGAACACCTCACCTGTCCCAAACAAGGAACACCTCACCTGTCCCAAACAAGAGAACACCTCACCAGTCCCAAACAAGAGAACACCTCACCTGTCCCAAACAAGAGAACACCTCACCTGTCCCAAACAAGAGAACACCTCACCTGTCCCAAACAAGAGAACACCTCACCTGTCCCAAACAAGAGAACCCCTCACCTGTCCAAACAAGGAACACCTCACCTGTCCCAAACAAGGAACACATCACCTGTCCCAAACCAGGAACAACTCACCTGTCCCAAACCAGGAACAACTCACCTGTCCAAAAAAGGAACACATCACCTGTCCCAAACAGGAGAGGGGGTCACCTGTCCTAAACAAAAAAAACTTAACCTGTCCAAAACAAGAGAACGCCTCACCTGTCCCAATCAAAGAACACCTCACATGTCCCAAACACGGAACACCTCACCTGTACCAAACAAGGAAAACACCACCTGTCCCAAACAAAGAAGACCTCACCTGTCCCAAACAAGAGAACACCTCACCTGTCCCAAACAAAGAACACCTCACCTGTCCCAAACAAGGAACACCTCACCTGTCCTAAACAAGAGAACACCTCACCTGTCCCAAACAAGAGAACACCTCACCTGTCCCAAACAGGAGAACACCTCACCTGTCCTAAACAAGGAACACCTCACCTGTCCCAAACAAGAGAACACCTCACCTGTCCAAAACAAGAGAACACCTCACCTGTCCTAAACAAAAAAAACTTAACCTGTCCAAAACAATGAACACCTCACCTGTCCCAAACAAGGAACACCTCACCTGTCTCAAAAAAGGAACACCTCACCTGTCCAAAACAAGAGAACACCTCACCTGTCCTAAACAAGAGAACACCTCACCTGTCCCAAACAAGGAACACCTCACCTGTCCCAAACAAGAGAACATTTCACCTGTCCTAAACAAGAGAACACCTCACCTGTCCTAAACAAGAGAACACCTCACCTGTCCCAAACAAGGAACACCTCACCTGTCTCAAACAAGGAACACCTCACCTGTCCAAAAAAAGGAACACCACACCTGCCCCAAACAAGAGAACACCACACCTGTCCTAAACAAAAAAAACTTAACCTGTCCAAAACAAGGAACACCTCACCTGTCCCAAACAATGAACACTTTACCTGTCTCAAACAAGGAACACCTCACCTGTCCCAAACAAGGAACACCTCACCTGTCTCAAACAAGGAACACCTCACCTGTCCAAAAAAAGGAACACCACACCTGTCACAAACAAGAGAACACCACACCTGTCCTAAACAAGAGAACACCTCACCTGTCCTAAACAAAAAAAACTTAACCTGTCCAAAACAAGGAACACCTCACCTGTCCCAAACAAGGAACACCTCACCTGTCCTAAACAAGGAACTCCTCTCCTGTCACAAACAAGAGAACACCTCTCCTGTCCCAAACAAGGAACACCTCACCTGTCTCAAACAAGGAACACCTCACCTGTCCCAAACAATGAACACCTCTCCTGTCCAAAAAAAGGAACACCACACCTGTCACAAACAAGAGAACACCACACCTGTCCCAAACAAGGAACACCTCACCTGTCCCAAACAAGGAACACCTCTCCTGTCACAAACAAGAGAACACCTCACCTGTCCCAAACAAGGAACACCTCTCCTGTCACAAACAAGGAACACCTCACCTGTCCCAAACAAGGAACATACATGTTATCAGTGACACGAATGTGTGTTATTCACTGATGAATCTAAACATTTGATAAACATTTGTTAACTAATAAATAAAGTATAATGTAGGCGTTATAGGACCCAAGTCTATAATGTTTGTGGTCCAAGTACACACTGTGTACTAACAGGGTAACTTTTTATTTCAGAAGACCGGGTTGTAACTATCGCCATTATTTCGACCGTGATTGCTGTGTTGATCGTTCTGATCCTATTTGTCATTGTCCGTTCAAAGAGGTAAGTTTTGTTCGAAGTAAAACAAAATATTAAATTTGTTGCATTAATTTAATAACAAGCCATGTACCACCATTGTATCTTGGAAACAGTTGAGATCCCCACCCCATAACCATATATAGTATTGCTGGGCATCAAGAGGTAAACACAATCATGATGTAAACATAGGCCCTAGGGTTTTTCCCCAACCCTAGGAAATTAGTTTCTGGGTTATATCTTTGAAACCATTGAGATCCCACAAGCATGATATAAAAATAGGCCCCGGGGTCTTTCCTCATCCCTAGGGACTTATTTTCGGGGTTATATATTTGAAACAGTTGTGATCCCAACCCCATACTCATATACACAATTGCTGAATATAAAGAAATGAATGCACATACCCTTCGGGGATGGCATTGGGGACTGATCCACCCTTGCAGGCTTTACCCCTGGGTCATAACTTTTAGATGGTTATGATCCCCACCCCAAAACTATATATACAAATGCTGGGCATAAAGAGACGAATGCAGTAATCCTATTAGAATTGACCCCAGGGTCTGCCCCATCCTTGCAGACTTAACCCCTGGGTCATAACATTTAAATGGTTATGATCCACACCCAAAAACTATATATACAAATGCTGGGCATAAAGAGACAAATGCAGGCATGATATTAGAATTGATCCTGTGGTCTGGCCACAACCCTAGGTACCTAGTTTCTGATTCACAGCTTGGAAACAGTTTATATCCCCACCCCCATAACCATACCTAAAATTGCTGGGCATAAACAATCTAATACAGATTGCTACTAGGATTGGCCTTGGAGTCTGGCCTATTCCCTTGGATCTCATTTGGAGAATATTTTGCCATAATTGCTTCGATATCCAGTTGGGCGATAAGGCCCTCTGGGCCTCTTGTTACAATTTGCCATAATGGTATATATGAATATTAAACACGATATATGTTTCCTATTTTCTAAAATGCATCATGAGAGTTTATGCTTTGCATGGCACTTAATCAACTCATTAGTTTTATTATTACACATGTGACATGTTCTTGACTTTCCAAACCTGTGATTAACCTAATGTGTTTTATGTGTGTATGTATGCTGTGTATCTTTTTTCCTACTCATGCTGTAAATAGTGTATATTTTATGTCAACCACATGTGAGATGAGATCTTGACTCAATGTGTTATCGAATTTAAATAAAGTCAATTATTATTATTATTAAAGCAACAATATTACAACATGTAATAATATTCTATTAGTATATTCCTATATGAAGTATTTTCTCTATTGATATAGAAACTAGCTATCATATACCTATATTGGAGAGGTGTAATACGACCAGAACACTATTCGGTCCGGTCACCACTGTGGTGACGTCACTAATCTGATCGTGACAACATTGTTTTTGCTGTCTTCATGAACTGATTTAATGAGCGAAAAATAATAAAATAAAATACCAAGTTTGTATTAACAGATTTAGCAAAACAAATTGTCAGCAATAAAAATCAAAACATCATTTGCTTTAATACCCATAATCGAGTGATATGATTTTGAACAAAATGGTTATCGCTGAATAACAGAGTCTATCTAACCGCTATTTTCAATTTCCAGGATAAAACTTGGCCGAAATTGCTGCTTGGTTACGACAAATACACACACAGAAAACATACTTCTACAGTTGACGGAGCATGCAGATTATTACCATGACAACCTCGATAAAGGTGCCAACAGGCCATTCACTGACCTGAAGAATTAATCAAGAAAGTTTTGTAATAAGACCATCTATATTGACCACTACCACCGTGTCCGTTCAGCAGAACAATCGATAGTCTTTATTGATTCCTTGGAGTCATGCTTTATTTAAACGTTGTAGCAGTTCCAGGTACAAATATGTTTAAGTTTGTTACGGGTAAATAACTGATATTTGGTGTCAACATTCATACTACAGTACACAAAAGCTAGAAACAGATAATATGGAACTCAAAGCTGATACGCAAGACTTGAGGAAAGGATGTGTGTGCATGCATTAAGTGTTTCCAGTATCTCTCATAAATCAGATACCCAGTTATTAAGGACATTAACACTACTGATATACAATGGTAAATCAAGAGTACAGCAACTGAAACCAGAATTTGTAGAACCTTCAGTTGTAATAGTAATACGGCCCGGAGCCAGTTAACAGACATGAGTGACATCAATAGAAGGTACAGTGAAGGAGGATGTTAACGGGAAAGTATTACCTTGTACAGGTATCTTATCGGTATGGCCGACAGGGTAAGACGGGTGGGGTGCTACGTGGCTCAGTGCCTGTTCGTCGACTTGAAGCGTTTCTGGGGAGTTTCTGGCGACATGTTTGGCATGTTTGGCATGTGCTTCTCGAGGATAGAATAAGTAAAGTCGAAGAAGAGAGAGATAGAATCAGTGGTAAACTTTATGATGTAAAAGAACGCATACTCCAGATACAAACTCGATCAATCACAGAACATTTGTTGTTTGGCGGGCTTCCAGACAGTGGGGGTAATACTATGGAGGACACTGAGAAGGTGGTAAAGGATTTTATCAACAATGTTCTCGAAATTTCTGACGAAATTCCCTTCCAAGTGGTTCATAGGCCCCGACCAAGAACCGACGGGAGACCTATGTCCATTGTGGCCAGGTTTTGTAACAGGAGGGATCGTGATCAGGTTCTAAATCCAGTCCCTGAAAAATTGGCAGATAAAAATTATTTCTCCGAGTATGAACATTTCCCCTCGGAGATCAACAAACGGAGGAACATTCTTTATCCAATGTTCAAGGAGGCCAAACGGCGAGGACAATCAGCACGCCTTAAGGAGGACAAATTATATATAAATGGTCAGCTTCAGCCACCCCCTCAACTCCCACCCCCAGGATATCGACAGCCTCACGATCCTCACGCGCACCCTCCCCAAGCTCATCGGGGATTCCATCAGCATTATAAAAGTGCTCCTCCCAGAGGTAACCCTCCTCCTGCCCACCACGGATTTCATTACAATCAACCACACGATGAACACTCTACTCCCAATACTGTTCACCCCTACGCTGACCATGGCCGCATCAGCCCGTCTGGCCCAGGCTACGGACATAACAATCCATAGGGATGCGAAACAAGAGGTTCCACTTATCGTAATGAACTTTGTTATTCTACCCTAAAAGTTACAATTTTAAATGTTTGTGGTCTAAAGTCAAAATTGATTCTACCAGAATTTGAGCAATTTATTGTTTCATTTGATTTACTAGTTTTTCTAGAGAGTAAAACTGACGAATTAGATGTTCTAAAATTACCGGAAGGGTACTCATACTATGCTAAACATCGATCTAACTGTAAAAGAAGATCTAGTGGCATTGCTATTGTCTGCAAGAAAAGTATTGAGCACTCATTACATTTACAAAAAAAAGTCATTCTGAATATGTACAATGGTTAATAACTTAATACTGTCAAAATCATTGTTAAACCTTGATTATGATATACTACTGGGTAATGTATATATCCCACCTGAGACTTCCAGGTACTCAACTGTTGATGCTTTTTCTGAGTTAGAGCGAGAAATGATTATTTTTTGTAATGACAATACACAAGTAGCGTTAATTGGAGATTTTAATTCTAAGACGAAACAGAGACCAGATTTTATTGAACCAGACAATAGCCTTGTTGATGTACTAAATATTGATGAAAATGAGTATTTATTTGATGTAATGTATGACTTTGAAAAATTACATGTAATTAATATACCTCTAGTTAGGTACAGTCAATGTACTTCGAGAGTGAATAATTTTGGAAACAAACTAATTGAGTTTTGTCAGCAAAACAATATTTATATTGCCAATGGTAAAATTAGAAAGGACCAGTACATAGGAAAACCTACATGTAATAATTCATCAGTGATAGATTATCTTTTGGTATCTTCAGAATTATTCCGTTTTATTAATGAATTTGAAGTTTTACACGTGTGTAATAAAACCCAAAGGTGCGGCGATTGGTCCAAATCGTGTGAACATATTCCTACGCCAATACAAAATTTTGAACTTTATTAACTGATTCTTTTCTGATTAGGTTTCATGTTTTTGCTTATAAATGAATTGTAAATGTCTATTTTGTCATTATTATTTTAATTTGATACGAAACTTTTGAACTCAGTTAATAAATTGAATATGACATGAACACTTGTGTAAGATCCACTATATATTGCCTTTTTGATTATGTGCCATGTTTAATATTTTAAAATATCCTTTTTCACAATGTAGAATGTAATATGCAATAGATATTTACATGTAAAACGTGGTAAGAATGTACATGTAATATGTGTTCAACAGTATTTTAAAACAGTGCTGATAATTGATCTTTCAAATACTTGATTGGTATAGATATATGTCCCTAGTCCATGTGATGGTTAATTATAAAAAAAATAACTATCATTCCGACTACTATTGATAGAAAGAGAGTGAGAGCAAGGGATAGAAAGGGAAACAGAAACGGAGACATTGACAGTTCATTCATCCTATGTTTTGAGACACACATACAGATACGGAGTCATATCTCCAAGATACATTTTTAGCTGATGTCGAGCAATATTTGCCATTTAATCCAGTCTGATTTCCAGTTATATAGTCTTCCCCTTGCCACTGGCATAAAGGGCCTTCTGTATCTGGTAATTGTTTTAATTAATTAACAATTAATAAGTGCCCTTTAAAGAAGATCAATCCCATTTATTTGAGAGCCCCTTCATTCTAGCATGCTATTGGCCAAATATCAGCAACCTGGGCTTTTTGGTTATTCAGGAGAAATCGAAAATTTGTTTTACACATTTGACCCCGGAAGGCGTTCTATGTTGTCGTGTATCTTCGGCATTGAAGACTTTGTTGATGTAGGGAGGACTGTAGCAGAACAGGACTGAGTCGATCATCTGCAACCAGGTAGTTCATTAAGAAGAGCGTCCATCTAGAGTTGGGAGGGTTCTAGGGTCTAACCTTGACTTTCCCCCAGGTTGCCTAAACTGTTAAGACTGGACGGACATACAGACTCCGCACACTGGCATAACTCACTTGGTCCTATACTATCTTAGTAGATTATTGATATAAAGCAAACACACATGTTCTTGTTCTATATTTTATTCATTACTACAATTACTCCCACATTTTAGGACTACTGTAGACGAATAATATAAATATGCTTATAAAATACAATCGCATATACAACAATATTGTCAGCTAAAATCACCGGTCAGGTTTTCATATTGATAAACCTTACATATGTCTAAAAAGTAATTGTATTGATCCCTTAATTAACAAAAAAATGTGTAAAATGTCACAGTTTAAGCTGTTTTACAATGAAGTAATTGAATTTGTACAAAAAGTAAGACAAATTGAATGATGCTGATTTTAATGATGGTAAACGGGTATGCTTTCCCTGAAACAGTGAGACTTCAGCCATTTTTACCACGCTTATAAATCTTATCCTACTGGCAAACAACGCAGCATGACGGGGGACCATTACAATTGTTAATACAACTTCCAAGTGATATCAGGGCTTGGTTAACTATACCCCTAGTGGTTTTGGTACCACCCCTAGCGCTAGGTATTCCAATGTCTCCTTTTTTACCAGCAACTCCTCTACGTATCTCCCTTGCTATACTACAGGCCTGCTAAATGAGGCCAGAACCCTGCTGGATATACGATGATATTATAACGTGGTTAGTTTACAGTGGTCCAGAAGTTATTAAATCACAACTTATTACATCATTTGAGTTATGTACATCACCATTTATGATCAGTGTTATGTAAATCGTCATTTCTGATCAGTGTTATGTACATTACCATTTATGATCAGGGTTATGTACATTACCATTTATGATCAGGGTTATGTACATTACCATTTATGATCAGTGTTATGTACATTACCATTTATGATCAGGGTTATGTACATTACCATTTATGATCAGGGTTATGTACATTACCATTTATGATCAGTGTTATGTACATCACCATTTATGATCAGTGTTATGAAAATCGTCATTTATGATCAGTGTTATGTGCATCACCATTTATGATCAGTGTTATGAAAATCGTCATTTATGATCAGTGTTATGTACATCACCATTTATGATCAGTGTTATGTACATTACCATTTATGATCAGTGTTATGTACATTACCATTTATGATTGATAAATAAGGACTAAGGACAGGGCTTGAATAGTCTTATTTATCCAAAAAATCCTCTTGTACATGAGGATATTTTTGTTCTTGAATTAAATTTACTAGAATCTTTTATAACTAAAAAACCTACACAAAATGAGGTATGTTATGTAAATTTTGACTGTTTATTTCTTAATTGTAAAGCAAAAATCAATACCTGTATGGGACAGACTATGTAAAACATTTCAAATAATTACTGCATAGTTAAATAAGACTAAAACCACACTGAACGCTACACATCATACGGGGGTAGTCCGAACTGTTCCGGTTTAAACTGTAGAAGTGATTCGAGTGTGAGCGTGGCTTTCTCGCTGTATCCGTCCTGAGGTTGTTCCGGGTCGGGTACCCACACACATTGCATGCCTGCTGCCCAGGCCGCCACTACACCGTTAACGGCATCCTCCAACACCAAACACTGACCGCAACAGAGAAAAAAAATCATGTTTAGATTTTAACCACCGAGCTCAAATTAATTGTAAAAACTTATTACAATTTTGTATCTGAATCTGAAAGAAAGGATTCTAAAATACCTTGCTAGGATCTGGACTGTCTGGAAACCGCCTGGCTGCTATTAGGAAACAGTCCGGAGCTGGTTTACCGTGTATCACCTCTGGGTCATCACTGCTGTATACGAAATGGAGGAAAAGACTGAAGAGATCTTGGTGACGGGTTGTCTTCAGCCCGATGCTTCTTTTACTAGACCCTGTTGCCACGGCAATAGGTACACCATGTTTGTGGAGATGCCTTATTAACTTCTCAGCACCTAAAACAATTCCAAGTGAAATGGCAGAGATAATGTGAGGGAGAGAACCTGGGTTACAGATGTTTACTATCCTGTATAACGTTTATAAGGACAAACAAAAAACATGTTTGTTTCCGGTTACATGTCTGATAAACATTAGGGAAGATAAGTGGGTACTTTTCAGTATCTTTGATATAGTCTATATTGGAGAGTAGTTTTCATTAACCTCGCAGAAAGAACCCCTATTGAAATAATTTGAAATTGTTATTCTGATAAATGAAGTTATTGAACATGATGTGAGAATACTGTTTTGTTGTACGTTATCTGGGAGGAGATCTAGACCTACAGTAGGA